CATGAAACATGCCTCTAACATTATGTCACGGTTATTCATTTTGCATGGAACATGCATTCTTATTGTATTGTACCTGTCAAGTTTCTTTCTTATGCAGGCACGATATTGTATGTACGGTTCATCCAGAGGAACTCCAGGTAAGATCAGTCATGTCCCTTTGAATACCTTTTTGGTTAGAAACACTCGGGTACGCCCAGTGTTTACACCCCCCTTTGCTTTGGTTAGAAACACTCAAATATACCCGGTGCTTACACCACTACCTTGTTGGTTAGAAGCATTTGGAACGTGTTCCGATGCTTATACCACTCCCTTGCCTGGTTAGAAACATTGGGACATGTTATCGATGTTTATACCGCCCCCGGTTAGAAATGTTTGGAACGTGTTCCGATGCTTATACCACCTTGTTCTGGTTAGAAGCATTGGGATGTGTTCCCGATGTTTATACCACCCCCCGGTTAGAAGTGCTTGGAACGTATTTTGATGCTTACACTACCTTGTTTTGGTTAGAAGCATTGGAACGTGCTCCGATATTTATACCACCCCCAGGTTAGAAGTGTTCGGAACGTGTTTCGATGTTTATACCACCTTATTTTGGTTAGAAACATTGGGACGTGTTCCGATGTTTATACCACCCTCCGGTGTTTCCACTGCTCTCTTTTCCCTCTCGCGCGTAACGCGTTAGGATGCTTTGGTTAAAAGCATCCAGATGGATTCCGATGCTTATATTGCTCTTTGTTTTGGTTAACTACTATTTGGATGTGTTTCAATTGTTATCACTGTTCTCTGTGGTTCGGAACCTTAGGGTGAGTCCCTAAGTTCACACCATCTCTCTCCTCGCGTGTGCCACGCATTAGGATCTTGTTTCATGCCTCGAGTGCGCCTGAGGGTTGTTTTGTTCTTTACCTTTCCTGTGTGATACATAGTTAAGCCTGCATAATTTTCTTGTATCCTTTCTGCATGAAATGTGGTTTGGTTCGTGCTTACTTGCTTATGTATGAGTTTGTCGTAGCGTTTCTTTGCATAACATTTGCATCTAGATATTTCATTACAGTCCTCATTGCATGATCATAAGTTATGTTGTCGCATCGTGCATATCATTTGCATCCTACCCCAAAACAACGCTGGTTTGATTCCTTGCAAAAGGATATGTAGGCAACTTGCGGACGCAACCGTTCTTTTTTTTGTTTGGTTGTTTGTCGGAGTCTTTGGCCTTGTCAAAAATGGGTCGTCTCTGGGCTTTGACATTCACTCCCGTCATTTCATGACTTTCAAGTTCTGTCAAAGAGGGGCAACTGTAGACACCCCATTTTTGACTGACCTTAAGACTTGGACATCATCGTCTATGCACTCGATAATTGTGCTTGTTTTGAGCACTCGAAGTTCTTGTGCATGTTTTTAGGCCAAAGCTTGTTGCCTCCTTCCTGGAAGGGGGAGGGGCCTTGTCGGCCACTTTTTTCTCTTGTCAACCACTTGAAGTGGCCGACGGCCACTTAAAATGGCCGACGACCATTTGTCTTCTTTTTCAGATATTTGTTTGCCAACTGTGCCAGCTGTTGCTCACTGAAGTCCATCTCCATACACGTGTATGGAGGGATGAATACAAGCTCTAAGTTTGATTTTCTATATATAAGGGATGCCCTCCCCCATTTTTAAAGGTTGGAGATTTTAGATCAAATTTCTCTCTCTCTCTCTCTCTCTCTCTCGCTCTCTCTCTCTCTCTTTTCTTGTTTTGTGCCTTAAAGCTTATTTCTTTACACATTTGAACATTAAGCCTTAACCAAACTTGACGACCTTGGAGCTGAGGTCCCTTGGAGCCTAGTTTAAGCTTTTGGAAGGAGGTTTGGGCTGGAATTTGTGCATGTTTTGTGCTGTGCTTCAAGAGGTATACGACTTACCTTGTGGGCTTAGTTTTAATTACTTGCTTTGCCATCTTTTTATACTATTTTTGGCCTAGTTTTCAACTACAAAAAACTTTGATTTTCTAGGCTTAACATGGTGGTTTGAGGTCATTTTGTGTTAAGGGGTAATCCACCACTCTTGTTGCTTATTTGTGCGAGCTTTTGCACCATCTTTTAGCATATTAAAATAAAAAATTTTGGGCCTTTAAACTACTGAAATTCAGAGTTATTTCAGTGGTGGAAAGCATATTTTGAAGTCCAAAATAGGAGGGTTAGCCTCGCCTCCTTGTGTCTTGCTTCCATGCCTAGGTTGCTTCACATGTTAGCTTAATTTTCTAGCTTTAACTTAGCCTAATTCAAGCATGTTTTAGGCTCTATTTTGGCATGTTTCAACTTTGTTTTGGGTTGGTTGGAGCACTTGAGGCTTGATTTATGTGTTTGTAGTGCAATTGTGCTTGTTAGTCGTTTTGGCCTCTTATTCTAGCTATATTTAGCTTAATTCAAGCATGTTTTTAGACTCATTTTAAGCTGTCTTAGGACTGTTTTGAAGTGTTTGTACCTTTTGAGCTTTGTATTGTATGCCCATAGTGTAAAGGTCTTCACTAGCTCATTGTTTGCTTTAAGCATGAAATGCTTGGGTTGCTTGCATGTTGTAGTATTATTTTACATGTAATCTCAGCATCATAATCTCTGTCACATTCTCATTTGTCTCACTTTCAATCGCTTTTGAGAGTTGTTTCAAGTTTGGAATCCTTTAAGCTTGAGATAGAGTTCATTCTTAATGGTTTTAATCCTCTTTTGGGGGTTTTTACTAACCAAAGGCATGACCTCTGTCTTAACTTAAATCATCCCTTGGTTAACTCTTCTTTCTCTTTAGAAGACTCTCACCTTGGAGTTAATCGATTAAAGGACTAATCGACAATGTAAAATGAGTAAACAAAATGAACAAAGCAAAAGAGGCAAGATTAAGCATCTTTGTATTACATTACACATGTTCAGATCGGATGTTAATCCGAACACAAAAAAAATGGGACGTTTTATACTCAAAGTGATGAAACGTGCCACTTTTCTTAGTCACAGTCACCCTTGATCATGCATGATAGGGTGGTGGTCCTTCGAGTCTTATTTGTGCATTCATTAAGCTTGTACAAGCTTGGTTCTCTAGCCATAAGCTTGTACAAGCTTGGTTCTCTAGCCATCATGCATTGAAAATGCTTGGTTGATGGTTCGAAGGCCAAGAGTTACCCTCATTTGAGTTTATGCAATGATATGGAGGGCAACAGTATACACGTTCCTTGAAAATACATTGCTTTGCCTCTATTTGCTCTCTGTTGCAGCAAAAGGAGAAGTCCAGGGATGTGGTGGCCGACCAGCCAGTTTTAGTGGCCGCCGACCACTTGAAGTGGCCGACTGGGCAGTTAAGGTAGCCGACAGCCACTTTTTGTAGTCGACCGGCCACCAGTCAATTTTTGCACAAATGTGCTCCTGAGTTAAAGCAGAGGCATTCTTGGAGTTGGCACAATCTTTAGTGATCAAACGGGTGCAAACAGAGGCATCCGATGGCAAGGCAATGGTATTTTTGGGTGGAGTAACCAAGCATGCTTGCATTCCTCGTCCCTCGAGGCCATTTAATTACTTAATTAGTTAGTGTAACTAATTCTTCAATTCGTTTTGCAATATTTTAGCTAGCTTAAAATAGTTAGTTAATTTACTTCAATTGTTGTAATAATTAGCTAGGATAGTTAATTAGTTTTGGTTTGTAATAGTTAGCTTAATTAGTGTAGCTAGTTAGCTTGTTTATTCAGACCCTCCTTCGCGAAGGCATGATGTTGTAATAAGTGTGCGTGCATGTGTGCGTGTCATCCAACCTCACGTCTTTCTCCCTTTTGTTTAATCGGTTTCGATGGTTAGATTAGGGATCATTTTCGATTAGCATACCTTATGCTTGCATGTTTGCATCATTCATTTGTTTTGCATGCACCGAGTCTCGGTGCATCATTCAAACTACATTGTCAATTTCAATACTTATTTGAATACGTGTTTCAAAGCATGCTATCAAAGTGTTGCAAATGCCATATTAGTAGTCGAGTTTATTAATTTCATATTGCATGTGTTGTATTAGGCATCTTGTATAGTTAGGATCATGCATTTTTCTAACTAGTTTGTGTTTTGGCGTAGAGTACTCGGTAAGTTTTACACTTTAGCATACTTGCATGAGTGTGAGTGTTGCCATGTTTTGCATGCTTTCCATGAGGCTATGTGCTTAAATGCTAAACTGTATGAATGCCTGTGGATGAAGGCTTGTTGCTTGAATTGGAACGATTCAACGAATGCACGTTTTAAGCCCACTTTGCGAAGTGGCAAATCATGTTTTAAGCCCATCATGTTTGATGGCAAATCCGCGTTTTAGCCCACTTGAGGGTGGTAAATTCAAACCGTTTTTGAAAACAAACATGAGTTGAAATGTTCCAATTCTTGCGATGTAGTCTATATTTGTATGTGTGCGCATCACATAGTAAAGTTAGCTAATAACCGAAATAAGAACGCATAATGTTTATAAAACAACATATCATGATAGTAGAGGCCGACCTTTTGATCGAGCAAGCGGGGGTGCTCATTTCAAGACCTTCCCCTCTCATACCCAAGTTCTCGAGCTGAGATAACTTTGGTGATGACAGACATGTGGCCTTTGGCACGAGTCAAGATTTCCTAAATTTTCCAAAAATAAAATATTTAGGTGGCGACTCTGCAATTTGGCAAAGCAGTCCAATTTTGGCATTATTTGATTTAAAATTGATTTTTCAAAATGATTTGCCAGATTAGACTCTTTGGTGTTTATCAAGTTTCACATTTCACTTTGTGAGACTAGATTCAGAATCATGACAAGAGTCCGAACTGTAGGACCAATTCGAGCTCTCCAAATGGGGGGCGCAAAAAAGTCGAGCTACACACTAAAACTGACATGAGGACTTCCCCACACTGCGCTGATACACTACATCTGAAATACTGCACTTTCGTACTGTATTCATACTCTATACCCAACTTCAACATATACTCATTCTACCCCATAATTACATCTGATACACATATTGTGGCTGACACATGACAACTGTCTTTTCAAGTCCCACTTATACCGAGTGCGCCAGCAGGACCAATAGTGCCTCTTTTGATAGCAGGAAGAGAGAGAGACAGGCTCCAGTACGCAGCCGAGGCCGAGCTAGGGGCACTCGAGCTGAGAGTGGCCCTTCAGAGCCTATTCTGAGTGATAACGACGCTGAGACTAGTGAGGCTAGGGAGGCAGGGAGTCAACATTTCGAGTCATCAGAGAGTGGAGATAATGACGCTGGCTCGGGTTCTGAGAGTGGAGATGCTGATGCTGAGGAGGGGTCCAAGGCAGAGAGTGGAGACGGCTCTGGTTTAGACTCTGATCTAGATTCAGATAGTTATGCCGATAGAGACAGTGCTGCAGAGTTCGCTCCTCCGAGGAAGAGGACGAAGAAGGCCTCTAGATCCTGAGATGACTGGCGTTGATTTTTTTTATTTTTTCTTAGTTTCTTTTGGTTTATAGTATTAGCATATTGTACAACTTCGGACAGGTTTTATTTTCTTTAAAACTTGTACTGCACGTTTTGCAAAAAAACCATGATCAGAATGAAAACCAAGTTTTTGAAATGAAAGAGTGTTGTATTTTGCATCATGAGCACCACATTGCATGAAAAAAGAGATTGAAGTTGATAACGAAAACCAAATACTTGTATTGTCACAACAGTCTGAATCAGGTAACAAACTGACCAACAACTGACATACAAACAAAGTACTATATAACTCGATAAGCAAAACAACTCGGTAAACAACAAATACAACTCGATAAACTCGTTAAAAAAAAAGAAACAAAAAGGACTCAACACAAGACCTCAAGACACAAAAAAAACAGTAGAGCAAAACACATGCATCCAACATTATTCTTCACAAAGGAGGACAACAGGTATGAGAGGAAGGTTGTTGGCCATGAATGGTGAATGGTGGCCATATGCCGGCCATTTATACCTCATGCTAGCCATCAATGATGCTTTGCCGGCCATCAATGTGTAGAATCTCCACATTGTTGACACTTGACTTCCACTCACTGCCTTATCTTCTACAAAAGGCTGAGTTTCGTGATTTCTTCATTTCAACTGCAAAATCTTCGTAAATGGAGCCATTTTTTGCCGAAAAACTCTTCGATTGGATTACAACTTTAGGTGGCTTGGAAAAGCTAATTTTTCGGGTTTTGGCATAAATGCACTATTCCTGCAGAGTCGTTCTCCGCTTTGTTTTCCGTTTCCTCATGCTGCAACTAGATGTTGGAACCCATTCATGCATATCTTTAGCTTCGGAGGACTAGAGATATGCCAGACAGTCGAAGAATTTCAGACGTTAATGGAATTCTGACATGATGATGAAGTTCTACCTCAACCCCATTTTGGCCACATCCAAGCTTTGGAAAGGATGTGTGGGCTCACTTTACATGATGCACAATCCTTGATTCACAACGGAGAGCTGGATATCCCCAGTTTGATTCATCAATTTTCTGATGCCGGTGATCGAGGCAATCTTCTTTGGCAAGGTTTTTGGCAACACGCCCTTTGTTTGTGCATGCTAGCACATTTCCTTCTTCCCCCTAGATTTGGCGAGTCTAGCATTCGACTAATCAAAGTAGCCCAAGGTTTAAAAGAGGGCAAGAGTTGCATTGGCTTGGTACTAGCTGAGACTTTGATGGGTCTAGACGCCTTTCATCGGCGGGAGACAAACAAATTTGCGAGAAGTCCATTACTTTTTCAAATAATGTTTCCCACCCTTTCTAATATGCATTTCTCATATCACTCAGCACTCATGCTCTGTTTTTTCTCTCAAAGCCCTTTTCTCACTCTTCTCTCAACATACACTTCTCTATTCTTTAATCTCTCTTTTCTTTCATCCCTCCCCAGATATGGCTCATGGACAGGTTGAAGGTAGTGGATTCTTGCCCTGTATATTCAGCACGAGGCTATTTCTTTCGGCAAGGGCTAGCGGATTTCCTGAACGAGGGATGGTGGTGCCATTGGATGTGCAACAGGTCTACTGCTGACATTGCTTAGCATTGCCCTTAGTTTGATCTACCTGAGATGAGATACAGCATAACTCGGCAACCTGGCATTCAATTGATTAGCTTGAGACACTGTGTATTCTACTTTCTGTTCCGGTTTAGGCATCAGTTCGGACACGACTAGACTTGCCCAGAAGAGGGGATAGAGTACCCGGCTTCATTCCTAATCCGAGGTTCACAATTGGCTCGATATCCCACTGCGTGGAGGACGAGAGAGCTTCTGGCTCCTGCCCCTAGTTTCAACTGCACTCTTTCTGGCGAGTGCCTGACTTAGATTGAAGATGAGACACAATTCGGGCTCACTTACAAGCACAAGCGGGGGACGCAGGAACACCTAACTCATCTATGCCCCAAGTTTATTGCTTTGATCTTACTTTTCAAGTTATCTTTTTGAATGTAATAAAAGCAACTTTAATTTGTATCGAGAGTTGGAGAACTTTGTATTGAAATCAATAAAAATAAAAGCATCCTTTTGGTCCAAAAATGGTCTAAGTTGTAAAAGATTAATTTGAACAAAATCAGCTTTTATTAAAACTTTTCAAAACTATTTTCGATAAGGATCACAACTTGACACATATGGAATCTATCCTCGAGACGTACAACCCGAAATCCAGAAATGGATAATTGCCCTTTGTTTGAATAGCACTGCACAGTACTATAGTCAGCTCTTCTCTCAGAGTAAGGATCACAACCAAACTTTCAAATAACGAATAGACAAAGATGCCTTAATCAAACACATGGACACAGTTGATTTGGAGGTGTTTAAGGTCGAGCTTCAGAATGAAGTTGCCTACGTATCCCAAAGATGGGAATCAAGCCTTACATAGTTCGGTTCTGGTTTACTCGAGTATTAACTCTCTCTTTTTATGCTCTAACTTTTGCCAAGACTGCCCTTTCTAGGTTTTCAACCTTGCGAGCTCAGTTTTTCTTTTTTCCAATTTTTTATGCTCTAACTTTTGCTTAGGTCGTCCTTCCGGGTTTTTGGCCTAGCGAGCCTCTTAGGGGAAATATTTCTTCAACTTGTCCATGTTAATTAGCTGGGAAAATTCTAGGCCATCCAGGTCCATGAGAATAACAGCTCCACCCGACCAAATAGTTTTGATAATGTAAGGATCAGTCCAATTGGGTCTGAACTTGCCCCTAGGGTCATGGATGGGAGCTCGGTTGTCTTTCAGTACCAAATCCCCTTCATTAAGATTCTAAGACTTAACTTTCTTATTAAAATCCCTGGCAATCCTGCGTTGATACCTTTGAACATGGTACAGTGCTTTCAGCTTTCTCTCATCGAATAGCATTAGTTCCTCGAACCTGTGCTGCTACCAATTCGCCTCTGCCATCTGACACTCAGCTATAACCCGCAGCGACGAAACCTCTATTTCAATCAGCAAAACAGCTTCCATCCCATAAACAAGAGAGTACGGAGTTGCTCCAATAGATGTCTGAATTAAAGTTCTGTAGCCCTAGAGAGCAAATGGCAATTTGTCTAGCCAGTCCCTATAGGTATCAATCATTTTCTGTAAAATGTGCTTGATGTTCTTGTTGGCGGCCTCAATAGCTCCGTTCGTTTGCGGCCGATATATAGATGACTTATGAAAAGCCACGATATATTTCTCTAACAAGTCAATCACTTCTCTCTTGAAATGGGAGCCATTGTCTAAAATGATCTCATTCGAGACACCATAACGGCAAATGATGTTGTTTCGGATGAACTTAGCCACATGCGTTGCTTTTAACACTACATAAGACGGAGCTTCCACCCACTTCGTAAAATAATCAATTGCCACCAGAATGTACTCATGCCCATTTGACCCTTTTTGGTGTAACTGCACCGATGATGTCGATTCCCCAAACTGAGAAAGGCCATGGAAAGTCATGTTGTACAGCTTTGACGGCGGGATATTCAGGCGATTTGCATCAATTTGGCATTTGTGGCATCACCGAACAAAACCAATACAATCCTCCTCCATGGTAGACTAGTAGTAACCTTGCCTGAGAATCTTCTAGGCTAACATTAATTCGCTCATGTGTGCTTCACACTCTCTCCCATGGATGGCCTTCATTAGTCACTTTGACTCTTTTGCGTCCACACATAGCTTGTGCATTCCCAGATGACCCCTCTTATACAACTTACCCTCGCAGATGATAAATTGAACGGCCATCCACCGTATTGCCCTCTTATCTTTGGCATTCGCCCCTGGTAGATAAACCTCCTTTTGCAAGAAGTTCCAGATATCATAATACCAGCAGTTTTGATCATGCACTTCATCTATTGCGGTGATAGACTCGTAGGCTGGCGTATATCCCTGCTCAATAATGATCGAACGCATCTGGACTCCAAATGGGATGTGTATCATGGAAAATAGAGTTGATAAGGTGTCAGTGAACCTGTTGTTCTCTTAGTAGATGAGTGAAGGTTAGTTTCTCAAACCTAGGAATCAGAATGTCTAAGGTCTGGTGATAGATCTTTATCTTTTCTTCCTTGACCTTCCAGTCTCCTTTTGCTTAAGACACAACTAGGTTGAGTCCCCGATGACATCCAACCTTTTTGTCCCTAGTTTCAAGGCAGCTTCCAAACCAGCAATACACGCTTCATATTTTGCTTCGTTGTTGGATACTTTGAACCGGAGTTTGAAGGCTAAGGGTATATGAGAATTGTTGGGTGTTGTAGATACCCCATTTTTTACCGCCGTTAGGACTTGGGCACTACTGATGGTTTACTTGGTGATGAAAGATGTGCAGGGCAAAGGTTCGATCTCTTCGGTAAGAGGAGAGTCAAATCCTAACCTCATACCCCATTTTTAGACTAAAATTATTTTGAATGGTTTTTAGACCTTAAAACCCTCTATTTCAAAATATTTTTTTTGAAATAAAGTTTCTACGATGCTCTGAGGCTCGTATTTTGTTAAATGATGCATTTTTCGATAAACCGAGCAAGGACAAAGTGGAAATGAATGAAAGAGAGTTGAAATATTTGAAAAATCTTTCAAAACACCTTGTTTATGGGTTTGAAGTTGAAGAAAAGAGGAGAAGAGGGAAAAAACCAAGTTGAGGAAGAAGTTGGGTTTGAATCGTTAAGAGAGAGACAAGCAATCCTTGCTAAATCAGGCATATTCTTTTGTATACTTGGACTTAAGCTATGAGGCCACCACCGTTGGAAAGAATACTTCCGGGGCTTCATTTTTCATTCAAGAATCTCCTCAAGACGAGTCCGGATGGGAGAGATATGGTTGGTTGAAGTTGGGCATCATTTTGGTTGGACCGAAACTGAGCACCCTTCACTAAAAGAGGGATATCTCTTACTAAAGTTGAAATTTTGATGCAAGGCTGCCATCATTGGAAATCTTACTTCTAGGGCTTCAATTTTGACATAAGAATGACCTGAAAAAGAGTC